TAAAAGTTTTGTCATACAGTGTTGCTGTCTTTACGAAATGTGTAGTTCCATAGTCAACTCTTATCACATTTTAAAATATATTTTCTTCTTCTCCCACTAGAAATATATATAGTTAAATATTTTCTACATAATACTAAATAACAATTATTTATTACTTTAAATCAAACATATTCAACATATTCTGTGTATTGGAAACTGAAAAATTACTGGAAATTAATTGTTTCAGTTTAATGGAACGTGGTCTCGTTTATAAACGTGAAATAATATGATTTCGCTGAAAACTGAACTTCCTAAAGGTCTCAAGTTACAAACACAACTGATGCCTTTTATTTAACCTGAAATTTCTGAAAACGCATGGTAGGGTCGGATTTAATGAGAAGCTGAACAACAGCACAAAATGTAATTTAATTTTGTTATTGCATAACATAACATCACGCTTTTTCAATTATGAAAGAATAGGCAGAAGGGAACATTATACAGCGTAAATATGCTGTTAAGCTGGTAAACGAGCAGACGGATCACCTGATAATAAGTAATCGGCGCCGCCCATGGACACTCGGAACACTAAAAGTGTTATAAGTGCGTTACCGGCCTTTTGGGGATTATGAATTTGAGGATAAAAGTCTAAAAGAGATTCTATCAAGCAAGCTCAAATTATGTTAAAAAATCGAAATCGAATCGAACGCCTCTCGATTCACAAACATGCCTGAAATGAGTATTCTAATTTTGAGCAACATTTTCGACACAGATGGTGTTTGACAAGAGCTCAATTGTAGTATTGTTTCGTGCTTGAAATAATAATTAGCGTGTGTCAGTACACTCGCTGTTCATCTGTCACGTTATCAGTTCTATACAGGTGAGTTTATTATTACCACAGAACATATAAAGAAGGCATTATTACCATGCACCGAGTGCAAATCCAGACTCACGTATAGAATTCTTTGTAAGAGTGTGTAACTTATACTCTTACTAAGAATTCAGAAAACTGAAAAATACAATAATAACTGATCCGGGATTCAAACCTAAACCGCCTCACTGAGTTTAGTGCCACTGAACGTAACAGTGGCTAGAAATAAACGATTGCACGTGTATTACATTATTAATAGTAGCTTTATTAATAGTGAACTCGTTTCTATTCTCTTATAATAAATATACTTGAGTTTGCGAGCTGCAGTTATTTTGAGCGAGCATATTTACGGGACTTAACTAATCAGCTGTTTGATCTTAAACATTGGTGTTACATTCATTCGTATATATTTGCGATATTGAGTTTTATTTCAGAGACTAGTTGATTGAACCTATTTAAGCTTTATCTACAAAACTAATCTTCTTAATAATTTCGTGTGTGTATTTTTAATTAGGAATACGCAAAAAGGAAACATACAAAGCGTTTTTTTTAAGAGGACAAACCATTAAATGGCTTGTCCCGCCCGGGTGAGACGAGAGGGAGTGTCAGACTCTTACTGACTAAAAGCCACCGCTTTCCTACTTCGGCTCTTCGGACGAGGGCACCAGCAACCCGGTAAGTCCTCTGCGGCTAACACAGGCTTATCATGTATGCACATATGACTTATCATGTTGCTAATACATATTATACGCGGGCAAAGCCAGAGGTAAAAGCTCGTCTACATATTAATAATATACACACATGTATTTAGTATGAATGTTCGTAAACATGTGACTACAATACTTGTTAATTGATGTTTAACCACGTGGTTATTCGTTAACCACTATAAACGGTGACTTAATGAGTTAATCGATGTTCATATCAATCATTTATTGTGCTGTATAATTGGTGGGTACAAATTAAATATTAATTAATGTAAATACATGGTTAAAAGGTTGTAGTAAGGAGTGTTGTATTTATTGCATTTTTCTAAATGTTATTTCAGATTTGGGAGCGCTATTTTCCTTTGATCTGGGAGTTTATAAATACAAATTACACACACCACATCTAAACCAGAAACAACAAATTAATTGTTTAGAGTTCGATCGAACTCGACACAAAACCATCTAAAGTCGTTTAAAAAAACAGTGAAAATATCTGAATCACTCGATAATATTCTAACATTTACAGGTTTATTCATCCATAGTTTGTATTCTTGGCCTTAACTGAAATAATATAAAGTTCATATTCCTAGTAATCTCAATATATCTAGCTTTATGTATAATGTATAAATCAATGGCAGGTATCGACACACACACACACACACACACAAACGTACTCGATGTGAACGTCACGCGTCGCGCTGCACTTGTACGTTGACCGCAGCTTTCACAAGCTTCGCACGCTACTCGGTACGTCATCATCTGATGGCGGGAAAGTAGGAAAACTTCATTGGTAATGGAGTGTTTAAGAAATTGTAGTTATTTGTTTCATTTAGATTTTTATGTATATAATAATATCTAAGATTAGTTATTGTGCGAAAAATATTTTGCGCAAAGTTTTGGCACTCAATATATGGAAACTAGATTCCACTTACCGTAATAGTAATATCTATATAAATCACAATAGTAAATGTTGTATATCGAATACGTGTCACAAGTGTACTGAGATAAACAAAGTTTGTTTGGCTACGTTCGGTCTCTCGGATATGTGAGTGATATGGGCGGGCGGGACGAGCGGCCGGCTCGCGACCTCCGCGGGGACTGCCGCACGCAGCCGCCCAGCGCACTAATGAACTTCTCAACTCCTCGCTCTGATAACTTACTCCTTTAACCACAGTGTGTTTCTCACATCGCTTAGAACTTCATTTAAAGCTTTTTAATTTTCATTCTCAAGTACTCAAGTACGGCAAAGCGTTGAGAAAGTAAATTATAAAGTTGTTTGTGGTTAGTTGAGCTTCTGAATTGCAATTACGTGTGACAAAAGACTCATTACTGAGGTCGCCGCGTTGTCTGGAAACTGGTAGAGCTTGACTTTGTTCAACATTATAATATTATTAAGGGAAATGTAATATAGAAGTATTTGTATGTATGTTTGTATAGACAATATCGTCTGTTTACAATGTTCCGTGTTTACAGCAACATGATAAATGATATTTACTTTGGGAGCTGGTTATAAGTATATTGTAACACATTTCTACGCTAATGATGGTATTTTTCACGTTGTATTTGAGCCATGAGATATTCTAAAAGTAGTAGCTTCGTGATGGAACATTATCATACAGACATTATTAGTGGAGTTCCAAACGCTTTTGTAACTACACATTTATTATTTGCGTCACAAGTTGAGGAATTATTATCATTTGGGCCATAAGTGACGCCGTGACTTTCGAAAGCAAATAATATTATATGTCTATTGAGGGAACTGGATGTTTTGTCCATATTTAGGTACCTATTCATTAAAGTCGCAAGTTAAACTATCTATTTGACTAAAGGACACAAAGCTAAATCTTTTCACATAAATAACTTACAAACTCAACCTTATACACTTGTATAAAAAGATCAATTCAATTAAAACGGTTCGCAAGCGACGTGTCACGTCGCACATTCCGGTTGTTTACTCGCCACAAATTAAGCTCAGATACTTCAACACGGAACAGAATTACCGGACCGGCGCACTATGACCTGTAGTACGACGGCATTCCGATAATCAAATACGAGCCGGATGTCGGATCCATACGGTTCTTGACGTCACATAAATAATATAGCTGGCTGTGTAACAATATTTCTGTTTTGATACGGAGAGCTTAATCTATTTATTACACGCTGTGCGAACAAAATTCTGGCGAAAATTAAATTTTCGGTGATTGAAAATCTGTACTCATTTTGTAAAAGCTTCACTGAAAATTAAATGTCATTGAAGTTTTTTTACATGACTTCTTGAAAACGAGTGTAATGTTTTTACTATCACATTATAATGATATCGAGCATAGTGATTTGTTGTTAGAGAGGTCTAATGTTTAGAATAATTGAACGAAAACGTGCTGATGAAGACAAATAATAAAAGTTAAGCTTTTTTGATTGATTGCATCCCTAACGTATTGCGAAGGTAAGATTCTGATTATACCTTCGCAATCCGTTCTCCGCTCCGCTCCTTCCAAACCTACGCTTCCTCTGGGAAGCGTAAAATTAGAGTGAATACTATAGGCGGTGACCAACATGAGACAATGGAGTAAGAATAAGTAGTAAATATATGTATTTATAGCGATGTGGTTACTGGTGATGTGGAACTATGTTTATGAGTTCACGCCTCATACTGCCAACATACATGTACTGTATCATGGGAAGTTTCAGCTGTCATAATAATATGATGATGTCTGTCTACATATAGTTACATATATAGATCATAAGCTACTTTTTCTGCAGCGTCTTATGGCAATAAGCTCACCCTTTAACCTCTAATACATGGGATTCATAATAAGTGATGAAAAGGCAAATTTACCTACATTACCTCTATAGAGGTAAATGTGCAAGTCTGGCCACCCATCCGGGGATTAAAGTCAAAGTCAATTTCAAAGCATTTATTTCAATTAAACTATAATTTGGTACTTTTGAAACGTCAACAAATACAAAATAAATAATAGTCTGTCAGTAAGTCCATCAGTGAAGCTAGGTGAAGCTAGGTGCTCATTCCAAAATGTAGATTCAAATGGAGAAGAACGAGCTAGAAAAAAAGTAATTTATGTTCTACGATGTATCTGATACATATTCCAATACTGTACGTATATGTGAGAACAATAGATACAAAGACACGCTTGACGCATTATACTAATTACAAAACTTACTAAAATAAAATAAAAATAAACAAAACAAAAAAAAATCTTATAGTCTAACACGGTGCTCACATATACATACTGACAATCCATAGAAATAGTATGTACCTTGGACAGTCTGAATTGCGGTATAGCTAACTTGTCTATCGCTTCTTTTTTCAAACAATTGTCTATTTTTCCTTACATACATTATATTTTCATCTATATATATATTGACAGGGCACCGTTAAAATATTTATCCTTTTAAAGGATTCTCTTAGCGATTCGCAACGGCATAAGGTGTTAACGCCGAACCGCGCGCCCGCGCATCGCCAGGCGGTGCAGGCCGGCGCGCCTGCGTGGATTCATTCCGCCACTGGCCGACCCAACGGTCACACGCACTTGTGCAGCATCGCTCGCCTCGAGAGTTACACGTGTATGGTGTATCATAGATTTAGCTTGCCTAATTAAAGTGATTTATCTCTCCATACACCGTGTCATCATTTTCAACAACCCTCGTCAACAAGATTCGAGCCGGATACGTCTTTGGAAACCGTTTCGAAGACAAAGCGGAACAAAGAAGTATTGACATTGACGAGGTCATTCGAGAAGAATCGAGACACGAGTTGCCACGCAGTGCATGAAACACGGCGTGAATCATCCAATCTACAAACGACAAAATCAAGAAATACGGTCGTCGCTGTGCTGTATTTTGTAACCACTACAGTTCGAGAAACCAAGATACGGGGTTTGCAGTGTGGTACTTGTGAGTTCGTTCCAATTATTCCGTAATTCGTATTGAATTCCATTCTATTTTTTTCCCATAAATTATTACCTAACAATATCCACGTACGATAATATTTCATGATCGAGCACGTGGATTAATTCAAACAGTGCACATCGCCATGCTAGGATTACTTTCCTTATAAAATACCTTCCGTTAAATCGTAACGGTATTAATTTCCCGATAATATTCCACCTTTCTCAAATTTAACGTAATCTTTGTTATCCACTTTTATACAGAGGTCTCATTTACTGTGTTGTACCAATTATACCAGTGCAGTTTAATCCATTGTACATTTCTAACGATCTTCCTTTTTTTAACATTTCAGCCGAACCGAGGGTCCAAGGTCCACGGCGCTTGGCCTACGTGACCGCGAGGCGGTCGCGCTGTAGCAAACCAAGCCTACCCTCTCTGCTTCGCATTATTTCTGCCGCTACTTGCCTGCTTACCTGCAAATAGTATTTCTTGCCTGCATTTTCGAATTTAAGTATTTCTTCATATAATTCCTTTCACTTCGCTTTCATTTCCTTGCGTATTATAATTGTTGTGGCTTTCAGCTGGGCAGTTTGAGAGTGATTTTATTACATACCTACTTGCATTTACTTATTCGCACAATGGATCTTAAATCATTAAAGAAAACTAGAGCTAGCCATAAAGCAAAGCTTACCATATTTAAATCATATATAGACACATTTTTGCCAAATAAAATTCTGAATAAGGTTCAAGTTTTTGAGATAACAGCTCGCTTAAATAAAATACAAGATTTGTACAACGAGTTTGACTCTGTTCAGACTGATATAGAAGGTATTGTGGAAATTCCAGGTGACGAGCACAAAGAACGGGAAATATTCGAAACCAGCTACTTCGGTTGCGTGGCTGTTGCGCAGGAGCTGCTCAACGCTGCCTCTGCGGGGCAGGAGACCGGATCGGTGGCGAGTTCTAGTGACAAAACTGGACATCCGGGTTTGCCAAACATTAAATTACCTACTATAAAACTGCCGATCTTTTCTGGACGCTATCAGGAATGGTTAGAATATCACGACACTTACAAGTCCCTAATACACGACAACACAACAATACCTAAAATTCATAAATTTCATTATTTGCGTAATTCATTAAAGGATACTGCATCATTAATTATTAAATCATTGGAATTCTCTGCAGATAATTATGACGTCGCATGGGATTTGCTTTGCGATCGATATCACAACGATCGAATTCTAGTCAACAACCATATACAAGAATTATTCAAAATACAACCAGTAGTTAAAGAATCTTCACAGGCCTTAAGAAACACAATAGATTCAGTCAATAGAAACTTAAGGGCTCTAAAAACATTACATTTACCTACCGAACACTGGGACATGATCATTATACACATGGTGACTAGCAAGTTGGACCCATCTACAATACGTGACTGGGAAAGAGAACGCAACAGTATCACACGATTACCCACTTTACATGAATTTAATACATTTTTGAAAAATCGTGCTGATATTTTGGAAACTATTGAAGAATCATCAGTACATACAACTCAGCAGCAATCACAACGTAGACACAGCGACATCACCCACAATCGTTCTAAGACATTCCTAGTTAACCAACCAACCAAAAACCAAGCACAATTTAAATGTCCTGTGTGCAAGAATAATCACACTATTTACCAGTGTGTTAAGTTCAAATCAATGCCAATCGAGACGCGTATTGAACGAGTCAAACAATTAAATTTATGCACAAATTGCTTGCGGGCAGGACATGACGAACAGCGTTGCAGGCTTAGTTCCTGCAGGCTGTGCACACAGCGTCATAACACTCTGCTACACAATAGTAATACTGTTCCCAAAGCTTCAATTTCATCAGAAGAGTGTGTCGTTTTACCAACTATGCAGGAACAAAAACAAACAGAATCAAATAGTGTCACACTCTCATCCGTACATCACAATCAGGTACTCTTATCCACTGCTATAATCAATATACAAGATTCGTACGGTCTTACACACAAGGTTCGAGCACTCCTCGACAATGGAAGCACTTCTAGCTTCATCACAGAGACATTGCGAATTAAATTAGGAATACCCAGTTATTCCACTTCGCTATTAGTACAAGGACTAAACAATCAGTCCTCAAAAATTACACAAAGATGTGATGTCACAATATCATCACTCACAAACAGTGGTTACACAACTGACGTCAATTGTTTCATTGTACCACATATCACCCAGTTGATACCTACTTCACAGATTAATTGCAATTCGTTTTCTATTCCCGCACGCATTCACCTCGCAGATCCAAGTTTCTCAACACCGTCTGAGGTACAGATGTTGCTAGGGGCGGATATATTTTGGGATGTCCTCCTGAACAATCATATTGCCCTGGGAAAAAACAAACCAACCTTGATTGAAACAACATTAGGGTGGCTCGTTACAGGTTCTATACAATCATTTAACTCTAAACTTAATACAAATCAAAAACATACAGTCCATTGCCATTTCCTAAACAACAACGAGATCGAAGAGAAATTAAACAAATTTTTCGAACTAGAATCAGTTCCCTCTACTCAACAAATCCATACTAAAGGTGAGAGTGAGTGTGAACAAATATTTACACAAACTACAAAGCGCCACCCAGATGGCAAATTTATTGTTATCATACCATTAAAGGAATCATCAGAATCCTTAGGAGATTCCAAACAGCAAGCTCTAATACGGTTTCAATCATTGGAACGTAAATTTAAACGTAACCCAGAGTTCAAGGAAAAATATACCAATTTTCTTGACGAATATTTAAGTTTAGGTCACATGTCAGAAAACAATACTACACACAAAGATAGCATTTCATACTTTATGCCGCATCACGGTGTCTTACGTGAAGATAGCTCCACTACAAAGTTACGCACCGTCTTTGATTGTTCAGCTACGACAAGCACGGGCAAGTCATTAAACGACATCCAGCATATTGGGCCAACTGTACAGGACGATTTACTTAGTATATTAATCCGATTCCGACAGTATAAGTTTGTAGTAACGTCAGATATTGAAAAGATGTACAGACAAATCTATGTACACAATAGTCAACGATGCTTACAACAAATATTTTGGCGTTCAGATCCCAGTCAGCCAATTAAACAATATAAATTAAACACTGTCACATACGGGATGTCGTCAGCACCGTATCTAGCGACCAGATGTCTAGTCCAGTTGGGCCAAGAATGTACCGATAAGGACGTACGTGAGTCAATTTTGCATGATTTTTATGTAGACGACTATATATCAGGGCATGAGGATGAAAAAACATTAATACAAAGATGTCAGGGCGTCATTAAAATTTTAGAGGGCGCTCATTTCCATTTACGTAAATGGCGGTCCAATAAACCGTCTATCCTGGACGATATTATCGTTAATGAAAACAACAACACAGATAATTCATTAAACCTAAACAAGGTTGATCATGCAAAAACATTAGGGTTGCTCTGGACCTGCAAGAAAGATACATTATTATTTTCAGTCAATAACATTTCAAATAATAAAAACACAAACAAACGCACAATTCTATCCACTATTGCTCAAGTGTTCGATCCACTTGGTTTGATTAATCCTTGCATGTTACAGGCAAAACTTATCCTGCAAACTCTGTGGTCTAAGAATATCACATGGGATGATCAGTTGCCTGCCGAAGTTGAGTCGCAATGGCATAAATTTATTCAGGACTTGCCAGAAATTTCTAAAATTGAAATTCCTCGTAGAGTGTTGTGTGATTTGTACGTTAAGGTAGAATTACACGCTTTTTCCGATGCCTCCATTAAGGCCTTCTCAGCTTGTATATATGTACGCACAGTGTCCGACACTGGAAATGTACAAGTACGGTTGCTACTTGCAAAGAGCAGAGTGGCGCCACTCAAGCAAAGGCTAACTATGCCCAAGCTGGAGCTTTGCGGCGCCCTTTTAGCAACAAGGTTAATGAAAAAGGTGATAAGTTCATTACGTCTAGGAATTGATTCCTCATGTTTTTGGTGCGACTCAACTATTGTACTGGGCTGGATTAAAACATGCAAATCAAAATTAAAACAATTTGTTTACAATAGAATTAATTACATTACCAACAATTCAGACCCAAATTCATGGAGTTATGTTCCCACAGAAATGAACCCGGCTGATATAGGTTCACGCGGGCTCAACGCGTCACAACTACAATCTTCACTTTTGTGGTGGGGAGGTCCCCATTTCCTACATCAAACAGACATGCAGATGCCTACACAACCACAAAATATAAATATTACTAGCTTGCCGGAAATTAAACATCAATGTTATTTGTCAGCAGATGAGTCACATTGTCATACTGATGACTATTTCACAAGATTTTCTAATTTCAATAAATTACAATGTACCCTAGCTTACGTACAAAGATTTATTTTTAACTGTCAACATACTGGCAATAAAATGACAGGTCCATTGACTGTCAAAGAGCTGAACACTGCGCTAAAGGTGTTATGCAAACAAATACAGCGTGATTCATATTGTAAACAATATTTACAGTTAATGCACAAACGTCAATTGTCTCCTAAGGACAAACTTCTCAAATTAAATCCATTTATTGATCATGAAGGTATTATAAGAGTGGGAGGTAGATTGTTAAACTCGCACTACGACTACAACACAAAGCATCCTATCTTACTCGACGCATCACATCACATAACCAAAATATTAGTCGCACATTATCATAAAATTCTTTTACACGCTGGACCACAGCTGTTGTTAGCTACATTACGTCACAAATACTGGATAGTCAATGGTCGTAATCTCTGTAGGAAAATAACTCGAGATTGCATATGTTGTCTTAGATTTGCAGGTAAAACTTACCAGCCTATCATGGGCAACCTACCTCTGCAAAGATTGCAAGCAGATTATCCCTTCAGTAATACAGCTGTGGACTACGCGGGTCCTATCCTGATATCAAACAGAAAAGGTCGTGGCACTCAGCTAAAAAAATCATACATAGCTGTTTTTGTTTGCCTAGCAGTGAGGGCAGTGCACATAGAACTCGTAACCGATTTGAGTTCTGAAGGCTTTATTGCAGCCTTAAATCGGTTTGTTGCCCGCAGAGGTAAGCCGGCTACAATCTATTCCGATAATGGAACTAATTTCGTGGGTGCTTGCAACGAAATAACTAAGTTTTTAAAAACTCAGTCTTACGATATTATTTCAAACGCTGCTGAAAATGACATCATTTTCAAATTTAGTCCAGCCTATAGCCCACATTTTAATGGCGTAGCAGAAGGGTCAGTTAAATCAATTAAAAAACATTTAAATCATGTATTGTCAATGGCTCATTTAGATTACGAAGAAATGAACACTGTACTGATTCAAATTGAGGCAATACTAAATTCTAGACCTCTCACTCCAATTTCATCTGATCCATCAGATTTAATTCCACTCACGCCAGCGCACTTCTTAATTGGACGTACACTCACTATGCTGCCTGCTCCCCAGGTCGACCAGGCTCCACTTCACACGCTATCCAGATATAAAAGGGTACAAGCATTAAAAACACATTTTTGGAATCGTTACTACAAAGAGTACGTTTCAGAATTGCAGATCCGAAACAAATGGCGGACTGACAGAGGACAACCGCAGCCAGGAGATATGGTTATAATCAAAGACGACCGACTGCCTCCCAATCGATGGCTGCTAGGCCGTATCACCAACGTCTACCCAGGCATGGACGGCGTCAACAGGGTGGCAGACGTAGCAACTACTTCAGGAACTATACGCAGAGCTTGGAACAGGCTCTGTCCACTACCAATGAAATTGGACCAGCATGATGCTCCTGCTCCAAGGGGGCCAGTTTGTTAACGCCGAACCGCGCGCCCGCGCATCGCCAGGCGGTGCAGGCCGGCGCGCCTGCGTGGATTCATTCCGCCACTGGCCGACCCAACGGTCACACGCACTTGTGCAGCATCGCTCGCCTCGAGAGTTACACGTGTATGGTGTATCATAGATTTAGCTTGCCTAATTAAAGTGATTTATCTCTCCATACACCGTGTCATCATTTTCAACAACCCTCGTCAACATAAGGTATATATATTGCTTTTTTGTTAAAAAAGGGTGAATTCAGTTAATCAGAAAGGTTAAAGTTTTTTTCAAATATATCTACCTAACATATTAAAATTAAAATAACATTTACTAGCTACAATAAAACATCCGAACACAATTTAATAGTTGTTGAGAGGGTTCCCAAAAACAGGCAGACTTTCTAGTAGTCCCCTCCATCTCAAGGCGTGCAGAAACATTTATTCTTTTCATTTTAGTAAATACAGTTTAGGGAAGGAAGTGTTTGTTCAGAGGGGATAGAACCTCCTTATATTATGATCCGCTGATCCTGAATACATTTACATTTGTATATTGATCTTATATAAAGAGTTCAACCCTTGGAAAATGTTTTATTGTATAACTATTTTGTTTAATATGTAGTTGTAACTTAAAAGTAATTAATTAGAGAAAATTGAATAGGCATTAAAATCGGGCATTATTGTAGGGAAAGACAAGACACAGGAGAAAATTGTAGTGAAGGGTAACATTACAAAGAAGAAACATTATGAAAGGGTTCGATTGTCATTTATTTTATAGCATAAGCCGGTAAACGAGCAGACGGATCACCTGATGGTAAGCAATCGGCGTCGCCCATGGACACCTGGAACACCAGTGGCGTGTCGCGGAGAACCTAACGGGTAACCGGCTCCTCCCTCCCGCCTCACCCAGGCGGGAGCAGTCATTCGATTATTTTCACCCATTAAAAAAAAACACCAGAGGCGTTACAAGTGCGTTATCGGCCTTTTGGGGATTAGGAGTTTGAGGATCGTTGGTGATTCAGTAATTGGGGAGATTGGGGAAGGGGAGGGTAATTGAGCCTCCGCTAACCTCACTCACACGACGAAACACAACGCAAGCGTTGCTTCACGTCGGTTTTCTGTGAGGCCGTGGTATCACTCCGGTCGAGCCGGCCCATTCGTGCCGAAGCATGGCTCTCCTCCCACACTTGAACATTATAGCGAAAGTGATACATACTGAACCACTAACAAAGTGCACTTTGAAACAGTATAGCTAAACACACACATAGACATACATATACGTATAGTAGGTACAATGATACGTGTAAATAGTATATGAGCGTGGTCCCCGGACACCAGTATATTTGCAACGAGCTATAAAACAACATTGGACGCTCATTCGTTTCCTCCAGCTTTACAACACTTTAATTCAACCGACTCTCTTGGAACTGTCAATATTTAAAATCAGATAGTTACACGGAACTGTTTTATTTTTGTCCGTTTCTCTAAAGTAATTGTTAGCTAGAACATTAATGTTGTATTGCATGGAGATTATTTGATTAACATTTTGTATGCAAATCGGTAAGTTGATACATTTATTACAGTTTAATAATGTTTCGTTGTTTCCTTAAATCTTCGAGGTGAAGTATTTGGATCAAGTTTTAATTCTTCATAGATGCCTATTTCATCCATCTGCTTAATTAAATAATTTATCCTATATCTATAAAGTAGTTAATATGTGTTAATTACTAAGTATTCAATTATTATCTTAATAATATATTAAAAACATAACATTACGTCTTTTATTCACGAAGGCGTAGGCAGAGGTACACATTACAGCACTCAATGCCACTTACACACTGTTCACAATTTATGTTATGAATTACATGCAATAGGGGGCGAGCCTATTGCCATATACCGGGCACAATACTAGCCTCCGTGGTACTTCTAAGATTAAAAAAAAAAACAGATATAATACAATTTTACAACAGATTAAAATAGGATCAGCAAATGTAAATAGGTAGACTTTCTCCCTAATATCTAATCGCTCTGGTTCAGAGAAAGCGCGAAGAAATAAAACTGTAACTGAAAATATCAAGTCTGATAGCAAGTTCATCCGTTAACTGTAACATGAGTTCTGTTAAACTTTAATGTTTCGACGAAATTCAATTCGTTTGCTTCCGACTCATTCATTCCTTATTAACAAAGGTAAAGCTACGTTGAATACCAATTTATATAACTTACATACATAATCACAGTGTTTACTGGCTTTAATAACTTATTAGTACAACTTTACCATTCAAAACATAAGAAATATTGTTTTTTATTTTTATACGTTGCTCTACAATATGATTTTCTCCTGCGTCGTGTGTGTATTTACCATACATCATACACATGACACTCAGACTCAAAACAAGAATTTGTGGTTCATAAGAGTTGCTCCTTGCGGGAATCGGCAACCAGTTGCCCAGCCATCGCACCAACCGTGCAGTCATAAGGACACAATAGATTGATAATATACAGATGGAGAAATAGAAGGAACAGTTTCATATTTTATAAAGTCATGTCACCCTCTTGAATAGGATCAATGTTCCAATAAAAGATAATTTCGAATATCTACAGAAGATATTCTTACAGACCTTTTTCAATAGGCAGTCTTCGAAAAATTGCTCGTCAATCGCTTATGAAGAAGTTCCTAAGAGTGTCTCTCAAAGTCATCTATACCAACTGTATCATAAATCGAAGATATTTTGGACTATATATAAGGAATTAAGTATTCAACTCAATGTACTTCACAAATACCAACACGAGTATCGGTATAATGCGTTCCCCTTTGGCACACAATTGGCGAAACTCCGCGGAAATCGGAAGCCATAATAGGTACGCATCGATTTGCTTCACCGCAGTAGGTCGGCAGTGTGTCCTCGACTTTAAACAATCGATTTTATCAGCCATACGTATTAATGAAATGATACTGAAATAAATGGCCTTCAGGCACTCGCGGTTGATAAACTTCTACTGATCACGATTAACTTTCTCGATTACTTTTTAATTATATGTCAGACAGCTTTGATTCATTGGTTCATAGTGTTGTGTTTGATGTAGTATGTGTATTAATTTTTAATTGCCAACCTTGTGGAATGATAGTGAGAAGTGAATTTACCTTTTTATGTTTTGTTGTTAGTTATTTCTTTGTATGTAGATAAACACACTTTTTTACATTTTTTGTTTAACATTAAATTTATTATCTATATATACTGTACTTTGTTTAATGAAACTATATAGAAACATAACATTACGCATTTTATCCTCGAAGGGGTAGCAGAGGACCACATTAGGTACGGCACTTAATGCCACTGTACAATATAATACCCACTTTTCACTATTTATGTTATGAGTCCCATATAATAGGGGATGAGCCTATTGCCATATACCGGGCATAATTCCAGACCCGGGAATCAAACCCAAGACCTCTTACCCGGCATTCGCACTTGCGAACACTCGGCCAACGAGGCAGTCTATGAAATACCTACTTAATAATAAATGTTATACAAGAAACTTAAAAAAGTTATTTAGTGTTCACATAGGTCTTGAACACCAATATTAAACAACCATTATTGTATTTAACAGGCAATTAGAACCCACAACATTTCATGTTAGACCTTCAAATAAAGACCTAGGGTGTACAATACAGAAACACTTATCTATATTTTGGCCACACCAAAAAAACTAGGTACACTTTCTTACACAGCTCTTTATAAAAAATAGTTAAAACCCTTTGTAAGTAAGTTATGTGGTAGGACGGTAGGCTGGTAGGGTAAGCGATGATGACGCGGCAGTAGGCTGGGCGGGCGGAAGTGGGCGCGGGTAACGGTGGCCGGGACTTCCGGCTGCCAGCAATGTAACACTAACCGCCCCGGTTATGAGGCAGTGTAGCCTACTATTTATATTAGATAAATACTCGTATATTTATTTTAATTATTTTGGCGAAAAGATCTAGAAAATCAAATTAGGTATTACTTTTTATTTCACACTGTATAACCAATATCAAAAAACTAATATGCGAGCACAAATACTTCAAAAATGCAAAATTAAATACAATAATAATAAAAACAAAATATTTGTATTATAACTTTCGTGTGACATACTAAATAAATTATTATGTTTTCGGCTTACTCACGTAATTATTTGATCAATCAAATCAGTAGCAGTGGGTCGCGAAATGCTGCTCATGAATATGATCCTCTAGCATGGCTTGAAACTAGTCGAGTTCCACGTCAAATTACTACGTGAGTAAGCCGAAAACATAATAATTTAAAAACAAAATAACAAAGAATACACCCTGAAACGATTTCTTCCCACCTTTATACATATACCCCTGCACATGACACTGCATCCCTTTTAAGTTCCCAAAGCGATACGGTACAAAGAAATTGACAGACAGCCTGACAGACACATATCAGTGCAAACCATTATAATGTCTAAGTGAAGGTGAGTAGGTGGAATTTCCTTTGGGAACTGGATATATTAAGAAGTTAGGCACTTCAATGACAACGAACAAAAGCTATATTAATAGTATAATTGTGAGTTATTTGAACATAAGTTAATTTAGTACTATCTTAAATAATGTTAATTGTGAGTAACGATATAACGAAGGCTGCGTTGGGAATTCAGGAATAGACTTTACTAGTGTGTTGTGTTTCTTTAATGATTCAATGTCTGATAAGGGATGACGGTTTCCATTTTTGGTTAAAATAAAAAAAAGATAAAATAGCACAAGATTAAAACTTGAAGTTATTAATATAATACTCTTTCTGCATCATGCATGATCGAAATTGATACCTATTACTAAAATTAAGGGGTAACTTAACTCTAAAATTGCATTAAATAGCTAGCAACTATTTCGATTAAGAAATAAGATGTTTATACAACTCTTGTCTAACGTCAAGTAAATAATACTGTTTTAAGTGAAAAGTGAACTATGTACACAAAATTGCATAAGAAGGACTCTGTAATTCAAAACTAAAAGCGTCTCAATGTCAATTAAGGTATTCATTGGCATTGCTGAACTGTCAACGCGGTGCCAATACTATTAGGAAGTTCAAAGTAGTTAACTGCTCGACTCTTAACTTACATGAATACTTGAACAGTACTTAATTTCTGGCAAGTTTGCCGTGTTCAACTGTGTCATTGGTTCAGAGGGTTTTTTTTAAGGGGGGAAAATCATCGAATGACT